AATGAAATGAAGAATTCAATAGATCAAATGACAAACACATTAGAGAGCCTTAAAAACAGAATGGGTGAAGCAGAAGAGAGAATATCAGACTTAGAAGACAGAGCACAGAAAAATATACAATCAATCCAAAGAAAAGAAGAGGAAATTAGAAATCTAAAAAATATTGTTGGGAGTCTACAGGATACTATTTAAAAAACCAACATTCGGGTTCTAGGAGTTCCTGAGGCATGGAGAGGGAGAAAGGATTAGAAGGCCTTTTTAGTGAGATATTAGCAGAAAATTTCCCAGGTTTGGAGAAGGACAGAGACATCCTAGTACAGGAAGCTCATAGAACCCCTAGTAAACATGACCAAAAGAGATCCTCACCAAGACACGTTGTAATCAAACTCACTGCAGTGAAACAGAAAGAAAAGATCCTAAAATGTGCAAGAGAAAAACGTCAGATTACTCTCAGAGGATCTCCAATCAGACTCACAGCGGACTTCTCATCAGAAACCCTACAAGCTAGGAGGGAATGGAGAGATATAGCCCAGGTACTAAGAGAGAAAAACTGCCAGCCCAGAATATTATATCCTGCAAAGCTATCATTTGTGAATGAAGGTGAAATAAAGACCTTTCACAGCAAACAGAAATGGAAAGAATTTGTCGCCACTCGTCCGGCCCTGCAAAAAAAGCTTAAAGATGTGCTACACACAGAAACACAGGAACATGGTCATCATGTGAAAGAAGGTAAATGAAGGAAACCTCACACCAAAAGATCACAGGAAGTTAAAAACATATATTAGAAAATATCTTCGGGAAATGGCGGGGCGAAGTTACTACTTATCAATAGTCACATTGAACTGTCCAGTTAAAAGACACTGATTGGCTGACTGGGTTAAGGAACAAAACCCATCTATTTGCTACTTACAAGAAACACATCTTTCCAACAAAGGTGCATACAGACTGAAAGTGAAAGGCTGGAAAAAGACATACCATGCCAACAGAAATGAAAAAAGAGCAGGCGTAGCCATCTTAATATCGGACAACATAAACTTTAACACAAAAACTGTTAGGAGAGACAAAGAGGGGCACTATATAATGATTAAGGGATCAATTCAACAGGAAGATATAACGATTATCAATGTATATGCACCTAATTACAGGGCACCGGTTTTTTAAAAAGATTTCTTAAGTGACTTAAAGGGAGACTTAGACTCTGATACAATAGTACTGGGGGACTTCAATACTCCACTCTCAGAAATAGACAGATCAATAGGACAGATCAACAAGGAGACAGTAGATTTAAACAACACTATAGCCCAAATGGATCTAACAGATATCTACAGAACTTTTCATCCTACACAGAAAGCATTTACATTCTTCTTAACAGTACATGGAGCCTTCTCTTGGATTGACCACATACTAGGTCATAAAGTAAGTCTCAGCAAATTCAAAAGAATTAGAATCACACCATGCAGCTTCTCAAACCATAGAGGAATGAAGTTGGAAATTAGCAACTCAGGAATCCATAGAGCATACGCAAACACATGGAGATTGAACAACATGCTCCTGAATGAACAATGGGTCATAGAAGAAATTAAAAGAGAAATCAAAAATTTTCTGGAAGTAAATGAGGATAACAGCACAACATACCAAAACGTATGGGATGCAGCAAAAGCAGTGTTAAGAGGAAAGTTTATAGCAATAGGTGCCTACATCAAGAAATTGGAAAGGCACCAAATAGATGAGCTTTCAATGCATCTCAAGGATCTAGAAAATCTGCAGCAAACCAGACACAAATCCAGTAGGAGAAGAGAAATAATTAAAATCAGAGAAGAAATCAAAAGGATTGAATCCAAAAAAAAATTACAAAAAATCAGCCAAACGAGGAGCTGTTTTTTTGAAAAAAAAAAAAAAAACTGACACCCCATTGGCTCAACTAACTAAAAAAAGAAAAGACCCAAATCAATAAAATCAGAGTTGAAAAAGGAAACGTAACAACAGACACCACAGAAATAAAAAGAATCATCAGAAATTACTACAAGGACGTTTATGCCAGAAAAAAGGGAAACCTATCAGAAATGGATAGATTCCTGGACACATGCAACCTACCTAAATTGAACCAGGAAGACATAGAAAACCTAAACAGACACATAACTGAGACAGAACTTGAAACAGTAATAAAGGCCCTCCCAACAAAGAAAAGCCACGGCCAGATGGATTCACTGCTGAATTCTACCAGACATTCAAAGAAGAACTAACTCCAATTCTTCTCAAACTATTCAGAACAATCGAAAAAGAGGGAATCCTCCCAAATTCTTTCTATGAAGCCAGCATCACCTTAATTCCTAAGCCAGAAAAAGATGCAGCATTGAAAGAGAATTACAGACCAATATCCCTGATGAACACAAACACAAAAATCCTCAATAAAATTCTGGCCAATAGAATGCAACAACACATCAGAAAGATCATCCACCCAGACCAAGTGTGATTTATCCCTGGGATGCAGGGATGGTTCAATGTGTGCAAAACAATGTGATACACCACATTAACAGACTGCAGAAGAAAAACCATATGATTATCTCAGTAGATGCAGAGAAAGCGTTTGATAAAATACAACACCCTTTCATGATGAAAACTCTAATCAAACTGGGTATGGAAGGAACATTCCTCAATACAATCAAAGCAATTTATGAAAACCCCACAGCCAACATCCTATTGAATGGGGAAAAGTTGGAAGCATGTCCACTGAGATCTGGTACCAGACAGGGATGCCCACTCTCACCACTGCTATTCAATATAGTTCTGGAAGTTCTAGCCAGAGCTATTAGGCAAGAAAAAGAAATTAAAGGGATACAAATTGGGAAGGAAGAACTCAAACTATCCCTCTTGGCAGATGATATGATTCTTTATTTAGGGGACCCAAAGAACTCTACTAAGAGACTATTGGAACTCATAGAAGAGTTTGGCACAGTAGCAGGATATAAAATCAATGCACAAAAATCAACAGCCTTTGTATACACAGGCAATGCCACGGCGGAGGAAGAACTTCTAAGATCAATCCCATTCACAATAGCTACAAAAACAATCAAATACCTTGGAATAAACTTAACCAAGGACGTTAAAGATCTCTACGATGAAAATTACAAAACCTTAAAGAAAGAAATAGAAGAGGACACCAAAAAATGGAAAAAGCTTCCATGCTCATGGATTGGAAGAATCAATATCATCAAAATGTCCATTCTCCCAAAAGCAATTTAGAGATTCAATGCAATACCAATCAAGATACTGAAGACATTCTCCTCAGACCTGGAAAAAATGATGCTAAAATTCATACAAGACACAGGAGACCTCGAATAGCTAAAGCAATCTTGTACAACAAAAACAAACCCAGAGGCATCACAATACCAGATTTCAGGACATACTACAGGGCAGTTGTTATCAAAACAGCATGGTACTGGTACCAAAACAGATGGATAGATCAATGGAACAGAATAGAAACACCAGAAATCAATCCAAACATCTACAGCCAACTCATATTTGATCAAGGATGTAAAACCAATCCCTGGAGTACGGACAGTCTATTGAATAAATGGTGCTGGATTTCCACGTGCAGAGCCATGAAGCAAGACCCCTACCTTTCACCTTACACAAAAATTCACTCAACATGGATTAAAGACTTAAATCTACGACCCGACACCATCAAATTATTAGAGAGAATTGGAGAAACTCTGCAAGATATAGGCACAGGCAAAGACTTCTTGGAAAAGACCCCAGAAGTACAGGCAGTCAAAGCCAAAATTAACTATTGGGATTCCATCAAATTGAGAAGTTTCTGTACATCAAAAGAAACAGTCACGAGAGTGAAGAGGCAACCGACAGAATGGGAAAAAATATTTGCAAACTATATAACAGATAAAGGATTAATAACCAGAATCTACAAAGAGATCTAGAAACTCCACAACATCAAAACAAACAACCCACTTAAGAGATGGGCCAAGGACCTCAATAGACATTTTTCAAAAGAGGAAATCCAAATGGCCAACAGACACATGAAAAAATGTTCAAGATCACCAGCAATCAGGGAAATGCAAATCAAAACCACAGCGAGGTTTCACCTCACCCCAGTTAGAATGGATCACATTCAGAAATCTACCAACAATAGATGCTGGAGAGGATGTGGGGAAAAAGGGACACTAACCCACTGTTGGTGGGAATGCAAACTGGTTAACCCACTATGAAATTCAGTCTGGAGATTCCTCACAAACCTTAATATAACCCTACCATTCAACCCAGCCATCCCACTCCTTGGAATTTACCCAAAGGAAATGAAATTGGCAAACAAAAAAGCTGTCTGCACATTAATGTTTATTGCAGCTCAATTCACAACAGCTAAGACCTGGAACCAACCCAAATGCCCATCAACAGTAGACTGGATAAAGAAATTATGGAACATGTACTCTATAGAATACTATACAGCAGTCAAAAACAACGAAATCCGGTCATTTGCAACAAGATGGAGGAATCTCGAAAAAAACATGCTGAGTGAATTAAGCCAGTCCCAAATGGACAAATATCATATGTTCTCCCTGATCGGTGACAACTAACTGAGCACCAAAAAGGAAACCTGTTAAAGTGAAATGAACACTATGAGAAACGGTGACTTGATCAGCCCTTGCCCTGACTGTTGATGAACAACTTAATACGTTATCCCTCTTAGTAATTTTTTGTTTGTGCTACTTAATACTTTTGGTTGATTACTGTAATCAATACACAGTTATTCTCAAGTGTTGAAACTTAACTGAAAAGTGATCGCTGTTAAATATAAGAGTGGGAATAAGAGAGGGAAGAGATGTGCAATTCCGGACATGCTCAAGCTGACTTACCTCAAACAGTAGAGTTAGAAACATACCAGGGGATTCCAATTCAATCCCATCAAGGTGAAATGTACCAATGCCATCTCACTAGTCCAAGTGATCAATTTCTGTTCACAATTGATCATAATGATAGGACTAAGAGCCAAAGGGAGCACACAAACAAGACTAGTGTCTGCAAATACTAACTGATAGAATGAAAAAGGGAGAGAACAATCCAACATGGGAAGCGAGATACACAGCAGACTCACAGAATGGAGGATGTCCTAAACAGCACTCTGGCCTCAGAATCAGCCCTTAAGGCATGCGGATCCGGCTGAAAAGCCCATGAGAGTATTTCAGGCATGGAAAGCCAAGACACTCTGGCAAAAAAAAAAAAAAAAAAAAAAAAAAAAAAAAACCTAAATGAAAGATCTCCATGAGTGAGATCCCAGTGGAAAGAACAGGTCATCAAAGAAGGAGGTACCTTTCTCTGAAGGGAGGAGAGAACTTCCACTTTGACTACGACCTTGTCTAAATATGATCAGAGTTGGTGAACCCAAAAGGCTTCCATAGCCTTGGCAACTCATGACAAGAGCCTAGGGTGATTACAGACGCCATAAACAAGAGTGTCAAATTGTTAAGTCAACAACAGGAGTCACTGTGCACTTACTCCTCATGTAGGATCTCTGTCCTTAACGTGCTGTACATTGTGATTTAATGCTATAACTAGTACTCAAACAGTATTTTTCACTTTGTGTTTCTATGTGGGTGCAAACTGTTGAAATCTTTACTTAATATATGCTCAACTGATCTTCTGTATATAAAGAGAATTGAAAATGAATCTTGATGTGAATGGAAGGGGAGAGGGAGCGGGAAAGGGGAGGGTTGCAGGTGGGAGGGAAGTTATGGGGGGGGGAAGCCATTGTAATCCATAAGCTGTACTTTGGAAATTTATATTCATTAAATAAAAGTTAAAATAAAAAACCTGATCACAATTTTCCCATCTTCTGTTTTCCTATCTGGAAAAAAAATAGGCATCAATAACTCAGAAATATATCAGGAATACTTGAAGAGCATCCATCTGCCATTGGGACTTCCAGTAATATTGATTTGTATATTAATATAGTCATAGCAAGGATAGCTACATTTAATGAATGCTTACTACCTATACAGCACTCAAGATAATTTAGTCTTATTTAACTTCACAACCAATTTATGGAGCAAATAATATAATACCATTTTACAAGTGGACTGACTCAGGCTTAAAAATACTGGATAAATTAGTTGTCACTTTTCTGGCAAGCATTAGAAGGAAAACTCTAATCCCACAGTCTGTGATAGTAGCTTCTATAGTATGCAGTTAATGGCAGTACCACAGGAGTTAGATTATATTGCCACAGTACTTACATCAAGCTTGGAGACTCAAAATGAATATGTTTCCCTGAAAAACATGAGAAACAACCAGTGGAAATGACTGCTGTATTTTTTGAATTCCAAATTGGAACATGAATCTTCACAAGTCTGAATAGATAAGGGAATATAGCTGAACAGAATCTTTGGTATTGTGGCTGTCCTACAAATTTTGAGAATGGTTAAACATGCTGAATTATAATGATCCCATCATATTACCTTTTCCAAGTAATTCATGAAATTTGTGGTATTAGGTTAGAACACACATTTTACTTCAGTTCATTCCTAGGATATCATTCTTACAAATATTCAAAGTTGTGTTTAAGAAACCAGTGAAGATCATGAGAGAGCTGTCGGATATGATAGACACACATTTTGGTGGTGTTTTCTGGCCCTTAAATAAGATGTAGGCAATTTTGTTTTAAAATCATAATCATTAAACACATGCATTCTCAAAGCCAAACCAAGCCACCAGAAATGTTATTACATTCCCCAAGCTACTTTACTTATTTGCAGGTGAAGTAAGTCATTTCATCTACAGGGTGCACTTAAAGTGAGGAGCTGCAAGGAACAATGAAGAAACAGTCTAAGGAAAGAGCAGTTTGCTGATCATGTGGGTGGAATTCCAATAAGCACAACAGATTTGTGAAATATTGGAGGATAGGGGTGTTGAGTCAAGGGAGAAAAGTCAGAATCTGATGGTAGTAAGAGTTGCAGATACCAGGGAACCAGAGGGCCTTTGGATGGTGTTCAACAAAACCAAGAAGGGTCAGAAGAGAGAGTTGCTATATCAGATGAAAGACCAGCCAACACAGAGTTAGGCAACTCTGGTACTGGATTTGGGAGTGCACTTCGGGTCACAAGGCACTCAGGGAGGACATCCTACCAGCTTTTTCCCTAGGAAACTGGCTCTAGGTGGAAGGAAACGAAGTCAGTGGGCATAGGAACTGAGAGCTAAACTGAAAAAGTAAAGTTCTGCTCTGAAGCACCACATACAAGATACTGCAGAGGAGCAGCAGAAGGATCATGCGTATCAGTGCCCTGCACCATTTTGTGCTCCCTCCTACGTGCTCCCCTTTGTTGGCCCAAGTTCTCATCCTATAACTTTGTCATTCATATTGTCATTCATAGCTTGCCTTGGAGAAATTTCTCTGGTCTCTCCGATCTTAGGTACTGGTGAAAGGGACATAGCATCACTGATTACCTGGTGTTCATGCACATATGTAGTAGCTTTGGGATCCGCAAGGAGAGAAGGCCTACATTTCCAGGAATGGAGAGTCCCTGACTGCACTTCAGGGAACGAAAAGTCCTTGTCAAGGTCCCCGCGGGTGCCTAAAGGTCAACCAGTGAGGATCAGACCTGCCTCAACCTTTAACCCCCATGCCCTGTATCTATAAAAGGAGCTCTCCCAACCTCTGATGCATGACTTCCCCGGCCCCTTCCCTGTTGGGACTCGGGAACCTCGCCAGGGAGCAGAATCCCAATAAAAGCCTGTATATTGATTCATCTGGCTGGGAAGATTTGTTACACGCCGGACACCTTGCAATACGTAAATGATGGAAAATTGCTTTGGGAAGTGTAGTAAGTAGACTGAAGCACTGACTTGTTACATTTTCGATAGCTGCATCAGAACTTCTCTGATTGGCCCCAGCATTCTAATCGTATCCATGGCCTTTGGTCACTCCTTGGCAAAATGTCACATTAAGCCAAGAACAGGGGCTATTACTACAGACTCCTTTCTTCTCTGCCCTCTTTCCCAGGATTGCTCTTCAAGCTGTACCATGGAGCCCCATCCCTGGTGGGTAGGGCCTACTCACAGGGCAAAAGGGAGGAGCACATATGTGTCATAATGAGCATTATGTCATAGCATGGTTTGTGACATAAAAGCTGTGATAGGCCTGGATATGTTCCAGTTGCTCCTATTTCCACTCTGAGAAGAGCAGCAGCTAGAAGCATCTTCCACAAATGTCAGAAAGGCTACCAAAAATTTTTGGGATTCATCTCCAGGCTACTCCTTTGGCTATTCCTCCAAATCAGCCGCACCCCTCCGATCCTCCACACCAGCCTCACCCTCCTCCCAGCCCTCCATGTCAGCCCCACCATTGTGGTCATTCATGCCAGCTCCACCCTCTTTCTGTCCCTTCACACCACCCTCAAACTTCTGGCCCTACATCCCAGCTTCCCCCTCCTTGTCCTCCTGCTGGGCCTCTCAGTGCTCCTGGTCCTCCACCCCATCCTCACCCTCCTTCTGGTCCTTCCCTCCAGCTTGCCAAACCTTCAGATTCTGTACCCCGGCTTCCCTTCCCTTGTCATTCACTCTACCTTAACCCCCCTGTTATTCCACATGAGCCTCACCCTCCTTCTGGTCCGGCACCCTGGCCTCACCGTCCTGGCCTCCCACACTGGCATCACCGTCCTCCTTCTCTAAGCCAGCTCCCCCCTTCTTATTCTCCATCCGGCCCTCACCTTTCTCTTCCACCCAGCCCTCACCCTCCTTCTCATCCTCCACCCCAGCTTCATCCTCCTTCTCGTCCTCCACCCCTGGCTCACCTTCCTCTTTGTCCCACATCCCAGCTTCACTCTCCTCATCCTCCACCCCTGCCCCACACTCCTTCTTGTCCTCCACTTGAGCCTCTCCCTCCTCAGCCTCGACATCCTCCTCCTCTTGCTCGACCCCAACCACACTCTCTCTCTCATCCTCCACCCCAATCTCATCCTCCTTATCATTTTTCTCCTCCTCCAACCCAGCCTCAAGCCCCTTCTCATCCTAAAGCCCAGCTTCACCCTGCTTATTGTCCAGCCCAGCCTCACTCTGCTCCTCATCCTACAATCCGGCTTCACCCTGCTCATCTTGCAGCCCAGCTTCAGCTGGATGTTCTAAGCCACCCTCATCCTCCTCGTTCTTCAACTCGGCCTCACCCTCCTTCTGACCCTCAGCCCCAGACTCACCCTCCTGTCCCTCTAATCCGGGCTTACCCTCCTCTTCCGGCATCCCCTCCACACCCTCCTGCTCATCTCACCTACCGACCTCACCATTCTTGTATTCCTAAACCCCGGCCCCAACCCCGTGCTCAGCTTCCACGCAAGCCTTTTTCTCCCTTTCTTTCACCTTGGCCTCATGCTCCTGACTCTTCATACCCACTTCAGGCTTGTTTTCCTTCACTACATCAGTCTTCCACTCCTTCTCACCCTTCACGCCATCTTCAAACTCCTGCTGCCAGTACATCCTGGCATCCCTCTCCTGCAAATTTCCCTCTCTCTCCTGGCCCTCCATGCCAGCCTCACCCTCCCTTGGATCCTCCATCCAAGTCTCTCCCTCCTTCTGGTATATTTCCTGATTATTCTCCAGTCCTCCTATCTGATGAGTCTTCTGAGAATTCCAGCATAGAGGAGATCACACCCGCATGCAGTGAATGTCTCTCAGATTTCTGCTCCACATTTCCCCCCACTCTTGATAATAACTCTGCCAATGACTTGGCCTCATTTCAATTCATAATCAGCTCTTCTGTTCCTACCAAACCTCCCCTTTTCCTCCCTGTGAATTTGCCTCCCCTTTCCAGTTCCCCCTCTGACTTCTCCTTGAGTCCTCCTGACAGCCCTACTTATTAGTCCCCTGTACTCCACCCTGCAAATCCAGTCACCTCATGATTCATGAATCTCCTCTGGAGGGATATTCTCCCTCCTGCTGGGCCAGTTCTGGTACATCTCACAATGGAAGCACTCTGGATGTCCAGCAGCCTGACCAGGTGGGTATAGGTAATGTAGATGATGGAAAACCAGCCCTCATCCTGAAATGTCATCTTGGTTAGTTACAAGACCCCTCATTGTGAAGAGATCACAGTTATTTGAGCACTGTGTGTACTTTCACTCCATCTTGTTCACTCTCTTCAGATGCCAGAGAAACTCAAAAATTGCCTTTTCTCCAGACAGCCTGCTTCAGCCTCTCTCTGTATATACTGGTTTCCTCATGGAATGTAGTTGTTTCCACTGAACAAAATGGAGGAAGAATGATAGAGAGGAGATGGAAGGCGAAGAGGGGAGTCATCGCCTCTGTTCTCCTGCAGGAGGGTAAGACTTAGTGCTCTGCCCTGGATTAAAGTGAGTGGAAGAAACAGTGAACCCTGAGAACCACACATAAGACATGAGAATCCTGCTATAGATATGGGAGCTTGTGAGTTGTTTGTTTGGGGATTTACCCTTCTTGCTTTGGCCTGGTTCCACCTGTATTCTGTTTTCCTTTATTTTGGATTCCACAACCAAGCCAAGACTTCATTCCTGCAAGAAGGGGTAGGGACCGTCATTGTATTCTCATCAACACTCTCAATGCTAGGCCTCCTAGTTTGTTGCATTTACTTGCAGTGTGAAAGACACTAGCCTGTACAAGGCAAAACCAGATCCAGATTCTCCCCAGAGGATAGCATCAACTTAACTGATATTTGCTAAATGTGCTCTCCTCAAATTGATATATCAATTCAATACAACCTCAACCAGGAGATCTTCAAACTTTCACAAGCTAATCCTACTTTATAAAAGAATGGAAGGACAGCCAGATTCTATTGAAAAATGTTTGTTTTGTACATAAATCTCTTTTAACTTTTATAAAACCTATTATATTACTGGTGTTAAACAATTTGATTATGATTTTTGTGTGGGTTTCTTTGCATATGTACTGCTTGGCCTTACATGGAACTTCTTGTTGTACGACTTTACAGTTTTCATCATGTTTAAGAATAATTCATCCACTCATTCTTTACATATTTTATGATTCTCCACTCCTGTTCCTCACTTTAAGAACTTGTATGTTAACAGTTGTTTGTCCAGAAATCACTGAGGCTTTGTGCATTTTGTTGATTTTTTTGCCCATTTCTGCTTCAATCTGGATGATTTCTATTTTAATATCTTCAAGTTCACTGATCTAATAACCACATCCAATCAAGTTTTATCTCAATTTTATTTTTACATTTAGGATTTTCATTTGGTTCTTTTTTATACCTACCACCTCCCTCATTATGTTCATATTTTCTTTTCAGTTCTTTAATAGGTGGATAGCAACTATTTTAAAGGTATTGAAGTTAATTTCATAACCACAGTCCCTTTTTCTTCTGTTTCCATGTGTTGATATTTCTCCTTTCCATGGATCCCATTGTCCTAATTCTTGACTTACCTCTATTTCTAATCATTTTTGAATAACGGTGTCCATTGTGAGCTTGAGTGATTAAATTTTTGCCTTGTTTTGAAAATTTTCAAGTTTTCTAGCTGCTAGTATGAATACTTGTGGTTCAGCTTGATAATTTTAAACACTGTTTTTAGGCTTTGGTAAGGGTAGCCTTTGTCTATGTAATGAAATTTTAGCAGAAACCATAGCTTGTCTTTAAAATGACTCTCCACATTACAGAGCCAAGTGCAGAGTTGGTGGCCAAGCACTGCAGAAAGAGCCAGCAGCGCGCATTTCTGGGCAGCCACCAGAAGCCATAGATGTTCCCCACATACCAGTGACCATCTGTACCTGGGTCCCACATTACAGCAGCAGGAGCTGGGAAGCAGTGTAGATTGGCAGCTCATTTGGGCCAGCAGCTTCTTGAATGATAAGCTGTTTGCCAAGGAGCAGAGCCAGTGGATAAAGCAATTAAACTCATGCAAGTAAATGTACAAGTCCCAGGTAAAAGCCTCTATGAGAAGGCTAAAAAAACCTTGAAAACAGAATCCAACATGCTAACCATTCAAAATCCACTCACTGTCTATGAGATGTGTACAGGTAATTTCATGATTTCATAGAACTGTTTAGAATTGACAAGTCCCCAAATACAAATGACTGACTATAAATTATGTTGACTGAGGATAGTCTTTTTTTGAGACAGTTACATTTTCTGGAACTCTTTAAGGTTTCTTACCATAAATGCATCAGTATTTTTTCAGAGCAGTAAGAGAGCAGTCACCTAAATTCATGGTTTATGTGATAAAATTTGAACAAGGTAAGATCAGGATTCAAGACAGCCATATTGAGAAGTTCAATGTCCATTCTATCATCCACTGGGACAACCCAAGACAATTGCTCCTGGAGGCATGTTATCAAGCAGGAGCACCTGAAACAGGAAATTAATAGTGGGAACACAGTAGACTCTCATAGCAGGCACAGCACTATAGAGGATAAAAAGGAACAAACCAAATCAGCAGTGTCTGACGTCTTGGCCCCATGGCTGGGGGATTCCCTGAAGAGAAGAGTAGCAGCACAGCCCATCTGCGTGAATCCCTTGCCCAGGCAACTCTCCCTAGAGAGGACTTCAACCACTACAGCCCAGCAACTCAGTAAGTAGAGCTCCCTGGAAGATCAATGGCTCTTTTGCTTAAGAGAATGTACTCACCTGGTCTCTTTCCCACCACTCAGTGCAAGGACTATGGCCCTCTGATGCTGTCTTGTGGAGGAGTAACTGTCACAATCCAACTGGTCCCAACAGGGCAACAGCAACCTCAATACCTTAGGTCACCCAGCTCTGTGCACCATAGTGGACAGTGACAGCAAGGGGAGTTGGCAGAGTCAGCTCTAGGACTCTGCAAGTGAGGTGCCTGCCACATGAGATTTGGGGGTCATTCTCTTCCCAACTTTTTCCCCTCCCTTGACCACTGAAAGCATTTATTGAGGGCTCTGTGCCCAGGGACTCAATCAGAGTTCCTATGCACTCACACGGCTCAGGACCCCCGGTACCCTGAATGATCTCACAGTAGGATTAGGGTATGAAATACAGAGAACGTGGTTGCTCTTAATGGTGTGCATGTCTGCATGGTGGAGGTGCACTAGAATGGTCTGCTCACTCTGAACAGTGAATCACTTTTTTTCCTCTGGCACAATGAAGGGCTAGAGACTACACTCCAGTTGGTTTCAGCCTTTGCCCTCCTACAGTAGCCAGATGTGCTGTACCATACCCATCTATGGTGTTACAGTGGACTTCAGCTCCCCCCATGGACAGTGGACAGAACTTTCTAGTAACATTCAGATCACTGGGACTTGGAATGAATTTTCCATGCTATGCTTAATACAACATATTGACACCTTTGCTGGTATCTCTAGTCCAGGAATTTCTGTGATTTACCCAGGTGCAATGTGAGGATCCTGGCCCCAACAATTCTCACAGAAGCTGACAGATTTTGGGTGTTGCTGCTCACTTGTTGCTCAGGCTTGAGCTTTCTGCATCTAGCTCAGCCCAAAAACATCCCATGTAGAGTAGCTTATGAGAACTTGTCCTACTATTACAGAGCCAAGTTCATTTTTCCAGATACAGTCACCCTCTCTGACAGCATCTGTAGGACCTACCTCCTTCACCCAACATTAGCACGACTCTGGGAACTTTGGATCTAGGCAGTAGCCAGGGGCTTCTTAGATCATCCATTTCCTGGATCCAATGCTGATCTTGCAGTCCAAGCCCCTAAGTTGGATCCTGGCTGGGAGTCCATAACCAGGCATACCTTTAGCATCAGCAGCATCTGAGAATCTCTTCACACCAGGCCTTCCCTTAGGAGACAGCTTGAGATGCATGTAACAGGGATCTTGTTGACTGCACTGAGCCATAGAAACAGCCCACATCTCTACTGTGGCTACTACCAACTACAGCAAATAAAGGTATAGGGTGGCTATACTACAAAAATGTTATTGGAACTAAAGCTAAAGCAGTCTACCAAACCAATACGCAGAGGCACATCTCCAGATAAAAACTTCAATTAAAAAACCATCTAAAAATTACAGAAACAATGGCCCTGACCATTATATGCAAAAATCCATGTAGAAACAGGAAATATGGATAAACATGGCAGTAGGGTTCCCCCAAAAGGATCTCATTAATAGCAGACTTTGAAGAAAGTAAAGTTTGCAAAACTGCATGAGAAAAAATTCAAAAGAATGATTGTAAGGTTACTCAAAGAGCTATAAGATAATACAGATAAGCAATTAGAATAAATTGTCATGTCAGTACATGACATAAATGAGAAATTCAACAAAGAAAAATGTTGAAAAGTAATCAAGCAAATATTAGGATGAAGAAATAAACAAATAGGGGCTGACATTGTGACATAGTGGGTTAATGTATCGCCTTCAATATTGGCATCCCATATAGGCATTGGTTCATGTCCAAGTTGTTCGACTTCTATTCAAGCTCCTTGCCAATGCATCTGGGAACGTAACTGCATCCATGCAGGAGGCCTAGACGAAACTCCTGGCTCCTGGCTTTAGCCAGACCCAGTGCTGACTGTTGTGATCATTTAGGGAGTGAATCAGCGGGCAGAAGATCTCTTCCTGTCTTCCTCTCTCTCTGTAACACTGCTTTCAAAAGATAAATCTTAAAAACAAATGAATTAAGCAAAAATACAGTGAATTGGAAATCTTTAACAACACATTTGGTGACTTAGAGAAAGAATATTTGATCCAGAAGTTTGGTCTCTGAAATGTCTCTGTCAGACAATAAAAAGAATTGTAGAAAGAATTAAACAGTGTTCAAGATCTGTGGTACACAAACAATCCAATATATAAGTCTTTGGAATTCCTGAAGGAATGGAAAAATGGTTTAGATAACCTATTCAAAGAAATAATAGCACAAAACACCCCCAATTTGGAGGAAGATACAGACATCCCAGGAAAGGAAGTACATAACACCAAGTAGGCCTGATCAGGAAAGATCCTAACCATTATACATTATAGTCAAATTTCAAATGTAAAAGATACAGAAGGCATCATATAATTTTCAAAAGGGAAGCTCTAGGCCTCTTTTACTCAATTTTATTTTTATTAACATAGAATAGATTTCATGTAGTTCATACTCCCATTACATTGATGACAGATTTTGCTACAGAAACACTATTGGCTAAGAGAGAATGAATACATAGAGTTCAAGTTCTGAAAGGAGAAAACTGCCAATCCAGAATACTTTGTCCAGCAAACGTCTCATTAATAAATGAAGGTGAAATAAAAACCTTCCAAAATAAGCAAAAAATTGAAAGAAAGAATTGGTCCTCACCTGGCCAGTCTTACATATGATACTTTAGGATGTACTACATACAGAAACAGAGAAAGGCAATCAGCAACATAAAAGGATATGAAAATAGAAAACCTACTAGTTAAAGACCAAAAGAGATTCAAAGCAAACAATAGAAAGTTGTATGGAAAAACAGCAAGATGCAGTAAAAAATAGTGTATGTAGTGGACTAAATAGTGTATGTAGTGGACTAAATTCCCCAATTAAAACATACAGACTGGATAAATCTTTAAAAATATACTCAAATGTCTTATGCCTACAAGTACAGGCCCACACAGACTGAAAATGAAAGAATGGAAAATATTTCATGCAAGTGAAATCAAAAGCCAACAGAAGTAGTTATATCACATAAGACAAAATAGGTTTTGAGATTAAAACTGTTAAAAGAGACCAACCAACAGCCAACTTTAGCGGCTGGGATTTATCTCCATGAGCTGAGGACACCTTGCCTGGGATCATTCAGAGATATTGAGTAAATGCCTGTGGCCTCACATTGATGTCTAGACATCAGCAGGTCGGTGATGCAGGCATGTAACTGGGGCCATGACCATAATGTAGTGACAACTGTCAGAGATTCAACTATTTTATCATTGTAACCAAGTTACAATCATGGAGCTTGATGATACACTAAAGTACTTTCCCTGGTTCTTTACCCAGCACCCTGTAGAAGTAAGCCACCTGTTACTTTTGTATCTCAGAGTGCATCTTGTCCTTCTTACCTATTTATTTATTTGAAAGAGAGAGAGAGAGAGAGAGAGAGAGAGAGATTGAGATTGATTGATTCTGCATCTGTTGATTCACTTCCCAAGCTGTCATAACCAAAGGAGCCTGGAACTCCATCCAAGTCTCCCACATAGGTGCAGGGTCCTGACACTTGGGCAATCTGATGCATTCCCAGGTGCATTAGCAGGTGGTTGAATTGAAAGTAGAGCAGCTGGAACTTAAATCAGCATTATTGGGGATGACAGCATTGCAAGTTGTGGCTTAATCTACTGTGTTACAATACTGACCCCTGCTTATTGTAAAATCTTTAACATATACAGCATTCCCATGAGACATAGGTTGACATCATGGGAAAGGAAATAGGAACAGTAATTCTAAAACATCAGAAAAACAGCTAATATTCATAAAACACATTCTGGGGATTTGATATCTGCTGAAAGTATTAGTGCTCACTCATTGCTAAGGAGAAAGTACAAAAAACTCAAATAATGTCAGAAAAATATAATTGGATGAGCTAAGTCATGAAAGTCAAGATTAAATAATGTAAAAATGTACTAAAGTTATCTGATTGGTCTAGAAAGCTTAAAATTAAAAATGACCCATTGGGGACCAGCGCTGTGGTATAGCGGGTAAAGCTGCCACCTGCGGTGCTGGCATCCCATATGGGCACCGGTTCAAGTCCCGGCTGCTCCACTTCCAATCCAGCTCTCTGCTATGGCCTGGGAAAGCAGTAGAAGATGGCCCAAGTCCTTGGGCCCCTGCACCCATGTGGGAGACCCAGAAGCAGCTCTGGCTCCTGGCTTCAGATTAGCAGCTTCAGCTGTTGGGGAGTGAACCAGAGGATGGAAGACTTCTCTCTCTCTCTCTCTCTCTCTGCCTCTCCCTTTCTCTGTGTAACTCTGACTTTCAAATAAATAAATAAATCTTTAAAAAGATAAGTAAAAATGACCCTGAGCCATTTGGGTAGAGAGTGAAACAAGACTTTACAAGGTACACCTTGCAGCATGTTCAAAGTATTAGGAAACAGAAATTTGATAATTTTTATTTTTAAAAAATTGTTAAAATATTTGTTGGGTAGAAAAAATGAGAGATCATTCATCTGCTTGTTCACTTCTCAAATGGCTGCAATGGCCTGGGCTGGGCCAGGCTAAAGTAGGAACCAGGAGCTTCATTAGGTTTCCAGCACACATGGCATGGACACAAGCGCTTGAGCTGTCTGCTGCTGCTTTACCAAGCACATTACCGGGGAGCTGCATTGGAAGTGCAGCAGCCAGGACACAAACCAGTGCTATGATATCAAGTGCTGTTATCACGAGCAGTGACTTAAATTTCTAGGCCTTGGTGCTGGCCCATACCATTTTTTGTAAAGGTTTATTTATCAGAGAGAGAGGAGTGTGTGCTACAAAATGCTTGGGCTGAAACCACTAGCAAGAAGCTCCATCAAGGCCTTTCACATGGGTAGTGGGGAACAAAGCACTTGGGCTGTCATTTACTGCCATACACATGCATGAGCAGGTAGTTGGGTCAGAATCAGAGAAGCCAAACTTGAAAGGCCCCAGAAAGATGCCACGTTAGCACATACAAACATTGGTTGACACTGTCAGAAAATGAGGAATAGCTTTCAGGCAGTGGATCAGGATGAAAAACAATGAGCTAATAAGTAATTGTTTCATACAATTAACTGTTCAATGTGTTTCTACCTGTTGAAAATGTGTCTGGAAACACACACGTCCAGCATGAGTGAATGAATGAAAGAATAAAGTGAAACAAACTCACGGTAAGGAGAATGGAATTTCTCAGGGGCTTTACAGGTTGGAAAATTGAGAGTTGATGAATGTGTAAAAAGTCACTGCAGATGGGTTTCATACAATGTGAATAACACTTAAAACTCCTGTACTAAAAATATGGATAAGAGAAGAAATTGTGTTTATACATGTATTTAATTACATTTTAAAATATAAAACTGGAAAGAAACTATAAAATCTTCAAGTAATTTAGATTAATAAAAATTATTCTCTTCTTTTTATATCATTCTACTGTAATGTATGAGAAACACTGGTCTGAATGCTTTCAAGCGTAAAATACGTGCAGATTTCTGACTGCACGTGTGTGTGTTTGTGTGTCTTTGCAAGTAGGCATCTATTCAAAGTGATAGAAATCTCCAATTTATTTTAAAATCTTTGATACTTTATTGTTGCAGGTGGATGTAAATGTAGAAGCACCTAGCTCCTGTGTGTAGAGTCTCTACAAGCAGTTTCTCTCTTGGATCCATGGTGGTCTACTAGTCAAGCTCGATCCAGAGAATCTGTAAGATGTCTTAGCGCTGGATTACATTGGAAGCCAAAATGGGTTTGTGAGAGGTGAGATTTCCTGGTAGAAAGTAGCATAAAGAAAAACTGGACAGGAGTATAGTTTAGAATGTGTCTGATGTGTTTTGAAATATTACATATGAACTCAAGTTAACACTGGGCTTATGTTTTCAGAAAGGAGAAAAGAGGAAGATTCCAGGCCATCAAGCAGGACATTCAGTAAGGAGTTATAAGGTAGTTGTTCCAAAGACAAATGTATTCAACTCTGTTTCCCTGTAATGTAAGCACGTCCTGAAACAGACTTCTTGTGGGCAAATTAGTGAGTGGAAGAATTAATAAAATACAGGAAGAGCAAGAACACAGACCTAAAGTCAGTGTTTAAAGTGCTTACTAAAGCTAGACCTGTTACCTTTCTGTTTCTATTCAAATAAACTCTATTATATAAGATCCATAAAGGGGTCAATATCACAGTATTAGATGATCTAATTGTGATTGCCAGGGACTTTTGGAGGAAATGAAGAACTGCGTAACCAGTAGGGAATAGTTGTAAATATTTATGGCATTCAGTGTGATAATATTTGATATTCTTATTGCCTGTGCTTAAAAGTAAGTATGCTGTGACAACAAAGTATATTTACACCAAATATCTTAACTAAAAATAATGTTAGATCACCATGTTGCTTAGATTTTGATTATTCTATCTGTTCATACATAATAGTAGCCACATTGGTCTAAATGGTTTTTCATATAGGAACCTCAAATTTTGGTGGATGTGTTAAAGCAAAAAGAAAGAAACACATGCACACACAAGATTTCAGTTCAAGGCTTCTTTAAAATAGGAAAGTTTGTTGCCTTTTTTTGAAGTTTTTTAAGGAAATGATTGCCAATGCAAGGTCCAATCATCAGATTGTATCCTCCTGGGTCTGTGACAAGAGTTCAACCATGTGTAGTGGGTGTGCTAGGAAGTCTATACTCCATATATCATTCCTTCATAATATCGGTAACATCAGTCTCAATGTTTTCACAGATGAAACAGATGCAGGTGTGTGTCTGTGGCTTTGAGTTCTGGCATCCAATCTGAAGTGGCAGAAATTTCTGAACCCATCTAAAATGTTTGCTAGTTTGTTGGTGCCAGTAGACATCAATGAAAAAGCACCTAGGTCCTGTGTGTGATGTCTCTAAACCACTTTCTGGTCAGATCCAGGTATATCTGCTAATTAGCACATTCCAGAGAAGCAGGGACAGTTTCTTAACATTAGAATATATTCGAAGCCAAAAGTGGATTGTGAAAGGTAATATTTTATGGAAGAAAATGGCATAATGACAAATTAACAGGAAAACTACTCAAACAGTACTCTATACTTTGTGTGTCTGTGTGGGTGTAATATTAAGTTGATCTTCTGTATAAAAAGATAATTGGGGCCAGCACCATGGCTCACTAGGCTAATCCTCCGCCTGTGGCGCCGGCACCCCAGGTTCTAGTCCCGGTCAGGGAGCCCCAGTTGCTCCTCTTCCTGTCCAGCTCTCTGCTGTGGCCCGGGAGTGCAGTGGAGGATGGCCCAAGTCCTTGGGCCCTGCACCTGCATGGGAGACCAGGAGAAGCACCTGGCTCCTGGCTTCGGATCAGTGCTGTTTGTCAGCCACAGCGCGCCGGCTGCAGCGGCCATTGGGGAGTGCACCAACGGAAAAGGAAGACCTTTCTCTGTGTGTGTCTCTCTCACTGTCCACTCTGCCCGTCAAATAAATAAATAAAAAAGAGATAATTGAAAATGAATCTTGATGAAGAATGGGACGGGAGAGGGAGTGGGAGATGGGATGGTTGTGGGTGGGAGGGAGGTTATGGGGGAAAAGCTACTATAATTCAAAAGTTGTATTTTGGAAATTTATATTTATTAAATAAAAGTTGAAAAAAAAAAGAAAATGGCATAATGAAAAAAATTGCACAAGAGCTCCTGAGTTTAGAGTTTTTGAAATCCTATATATAAGCTTCTTAGTAACATTGGATAGGTGTTCAGAAAGGAAAAAGGAAATGTACTTTCAGTCATAGAGCAGGACATTTGTAAGGAATTACAAAGTAGTTCTTCAAAACAAAAAATGTGTCCAACTGTGTTTCTCTCTGTTGTAAGCACATACTGAAACAAATTTGTTGTGCATAAGTTAGTGAGTAGGAGAATGAATAAAGTGCCTAATGAGCAAGAATGGAGACCTAAAGTCAGTGTTTTAAGCTTACTGAAGCCAGAGATGCTCCTTTCTGTATAGCAGTCCTCCTCTTACTTCCATTCAAATAAACTCTATGATATATGGTCTTTAAAGAGGTCAATACCACAGTGCCAGGTAATCTAACTGTGACTGCCAGGGAGTATATGCAGAAAATTAAGTATTTGGTGTGTAGGGAAATGTCACAAATATTGATTGATTACATTCAGTGTGAATATACTTAACATTTTCATTATCTCTGCTTTAAAATGATATGACAGTGCAAATATTTTCTATGCTTACTAAAACAATCTCTAAGATAACCATTTTACTTAGATTATATGAAATGGTTATTCTATCTGTTAGTGTATTCATGATAGTGGTCACTTGAATCTGACTGACATTTGAATGGGAAACTCATATTTGTGTGTGTGTGTAAAAGGGAGACAAAAACACACACAAATTACAATTTGGGACTTCTTTAAAGTACAGTATATTCTTTCAAAGTCTTTTTTTAAAAAAACTTTTATTTAATGAATATAAATTTCCAAAGTACAGCTTATGGATTACAATGGCTTCCCCCCCATAACGTCCCTCCCACCTGCAACCCTCCCCTTTCCTACTCCCTCTCCCCTTCCATTCACATCAAGATTCATTTTCAATTCTCTTTATATACAGAAGATCAGTTTAACATACATTAAGTAAAGATTTCAACAGTTTGCTCCCACACAGAAACACAAAGTGAAAAATACTGTTTGAGTACTAGTTATAGCAACAAATCTCAATGTACAGCACACTAAGGACAAAGATCCTACATGAGGAGTAAGTGCACAGTGACTCCTGTTGTTAACAAATTGACACTCTTGTTTATGGCATCAGTAATCAACCTAGGCTCTTGTCATGAACTGCCAAGGCTATGGAAGCCCCCTGAGTTCACTGACTCTGATAATTTTTAGACAAGGCCATGGTCAAAGTGGAAGTTCTCTCCTCCCTTCAGAGGAAGGTACCTCCTTCTTTGATGACCTGTTCTTTCCACTGGGATCTCACTCATGGAGATCTTTCATTTAGGTCTTTTTTTTTTTTTTCCCAGAGTGTCTTGGCTTTCCATGCCTGAAATACTTTCATGGGCTTTTCAGCCGGATCCGCATGCCTTAAGGGCTGATTCTGAGGCCAGAGTGCTGTTTAGGACATCTGCCATTCTATGAGTCTGCTGTGTATCTCGCTTCCCATGTTGGATCGTTCTCTCCCTTTTTGATTCTATCAGTTAGTATTTGCAGACACTATTCTTGTTTATGTGATCCCTTTGGTTCTTAGTCCTATCATTACGATCAATTGTGAACAGAAATTGATCACTGGGACTAGTGAGATGGCATTGATACATGCCACCTTGATGGGATTGAATTGGAATCCCCTGGTATGTTTCTAACTCTACCGTTTGAGGTAAGTCAGCTTGAGCATGTCCCGAATTGCACATCTCTTCCCTCTCTTTATTCTTTCAAAGTCTTTTTAAGAAAATGGCCAAGGTGAGTTCCATTTATCAGACAGTATTCTTCTGGTCTGACACATTATGGTGAACCCTTCAGTGGCAATGCTAGAAAATATTACTCTGTTTTTTATTCCAACATAATAGTGACAAAACTGGTCTCAGTGTTTTCACAGATATAATATATACATAGGTTTGTGTGGTTTTGAGTGTGGGTATCTAAATTGAACTGGTAGAAGTTTCTGACTACTTCTAAAATGGTTTCTAGCTTGGTACAGGTGGTGTCAATGAAGAAAACCCAGCTCCTGTGTGTCATCTCCACAAATCATTTCTTGGTGGAATTCAGGGATGTCTACTAATCAGGCTCACTCCAGACAAGCTGCAATAGATGCCTTAGCACTGGATTACATTGGAAACCAAAATGGAATTGTGAGGTGAGATTTCATAGTAGAAAGTCATATAAAGAATATTTTGACAGGAGCTATAGAATTTAGAATGTGTTCTGAAATACTACATGTAAGTCCCTGTTATCGTTGTGCAGGTGTTCTCAGAAAGGGTAAAGGAGGAATAGCTTCCACACCACAGAGTAGCACATACAAAAGGAGTTATGAATTGTTCCAAACAGCAAATGTGTTCAACCGCGTTTTTCTGTAAGGTAAGCAAATCCCGAGACAAACATCTTATGTGCAAATTAGAATTGAAGAATTAACAAACTACATAAAGAGCAAGAATACAGACCCAACTTTATTCCTAAATCTTCATATATGAAATACATGAAACCTGTATAATTTAAAGAATATTAAAAATAAATAATGATAAAAAGATTACTAGTGAAAAAATAAAGTCAGTGTTTTCAGTGCTTACTAAATCTAGAGCTGCTTCCTTTCTGTATAGTAGTCCTAGTCTTGTTTCTGTTATGTAAATAAGGTAAATGAAGGGGTCAATATCACAGTACCAGATAGTTTAATTGTGACTGCCAGGGATTATTTGAAAGCAATGAAGAATTGGAAAATGTGTGGGAAAGCTTACAACAAAGATTTATTGCATTCAGTGTGAATATACTTAATATTCTTATTAACTATGCTTAAAGTTAAGGATGATATCACAACAGAAATTATATTTGCATCTATTAAAATCACACCTAAGAGGAATGTATATGATCACCATATTACTTGGATTATGAAATGATTATTCAGTCTTAATTTATTTATTATAGTGGTCACGTTGTTCTCAATGATTTTTCATACAGGAACTTCAAATGCCAGTGTGTTTGAAGGAGAAAGAGAGAGAAAGATACAGAACACACACACACACGCACACACACACACAAACATTTCAGTTCTGGGCTTCTGCTTTAAAGTAGGAGAGGTTGTTTCTTTCATTCAAAGTTTTTCAAGAAAATAATTGTCAGGCTGAGATCCAATCATAGACCACATCCTCCTGGGTTTGTGACAAGATATTAACCCGATTAACTGAGTATGTTAGGAAAATATTATTCTCAGTTTCTTATCCTTCATAATATTGGAAATCAATGTTTTCACAGATAAAATATATAGAGGATTGTGTGTGTGTGTGTTTGTGCATGTGTATGACTTTGAGTGTGGGTTTCTAGTTTGAAGTAGTTGAAATTTCTGACTCCTAATATGTTTGATAGATTGTTGTTTGCACATAGGTTTCAGTGAAGAAGCACACAGCTCCTCTGTCAGGTCTCCACAGACCATTTCCAGGTGGGATCCAAGGATATCTAGTAATCAAGCTTGCTCCAGAGAAGCTGATACAGATGTCTTAGGCACTGGAGTCTATTAGAAGCCAAAAATGGGATTGTGAGAGATGAGATTTCATGACAGAAAATGGCATAAAGAAAAGTTGGGCAGGGGCTATACAGTTTAGAATGTGTTTTGATATATGAACTCCTATTAATACCTGTCAGTTAGTTGTTCTCAGAAAGGAGGAAAAGCTTCCAGGTCATAGAGCAGAACATAGAGTAAGGAGTTAAAAAGTAGTTGTTCCAAACAAAACATGTGTTCAGCTGTGTTTCTCTCTGATGTAAGCATGTCCTGAAACAAATTTTTTGTGCCTAAGTCAGTGAGTGGAAGAATTAATAAAGTACATTGTGAGCAATAACATATACCTAAAGTTCACTTTTTAAATATGTTTTATTTGAGATATATGTTTCATATATTTCATTTATACAGGTTCATAAATATAGTGGCATCCACCCACCATCCCTCCTGCCCACTCTCCAACCCTTCCTCCTCATCCCTCTCAGATTCCCACTCCTAATTTTTACAAAGACTTATTTTCAGTATACTTAGTGATTGCATAGATATGCATACCTTAAGTAAAAGAGTTTGACAAATAGTATGAAGAGAAAAGAAAAGAAATTACCATTCCTCAGTGAAAGAGACAAGGGCTATAAGTAATCATTGATTCTCCAAATATTGATTTCATTCCAATACATTATATTTCAGGTACTCTATTAGTTACCTTCGATCAGAGAAAACATATGAAATCCGTCTTTTTGGGACTGGCTTATTTGACTAAGTGTAACTGCTTCCAGTTACAAATATCTTGTTGCAAAAGACAGGATTACATTTTTTTAAAGATTTACTTATTTATTTGAAAGAGTTAAACAGAGAGAGACAAGAGGCAGAGAGACAGAGAGGTCTTCCATCCACTGGATCACTCCACAATTGGCTACAACAGCCAGTGCTGTGCAGATCCAAAGCCAGGAGCCAGGAGCTTCCGCCAGGTCTTCCTATGCAGATGCAGTGGCCCAAGGACTTGGGCCATCTTTTACTGCCTTCCCAGGCAATAACAGAGAGCTGGATAGGAAGTGGAGCAGCTGGGTCTTGAACCCGTGCCCATATGGAATGCTGGTACTGCAGGTGGTGGCTATACCCGGTATGCCACAGCACTGGCCCCCAGGATTACATTTTTTACAGCTTAGTAGTACTCCATAGTTTATATATACCATTATTTCTCTATCCAGTCAACAGTTGAAGGACATCTGGATTTTATTACATATCTTAACAACTGTGCTGCAATGAACATGAGGATAACAGATAACTCTTTCATATCTTGATTTCTTTTGGTTTGGGTAAATTCCCAGGAGTGGGATGGCTGGATCATATGGTAGATCATTAGTCAGATTTCTGAGGTATCACCATCCTGTCTTCCACAGCATTTGTGCCAGTTTACTTTCCATATTTCAAATGCTATATCTAAAAATTTAGATGATGGGCAATTTCCATATGGTTTTAGGAATAAAACAGATATTTATTCATCTTAACATACAGACATTTATTCTAATCTCATGTCATGTTAACTTTTTTCATTAACTGACTTTAGAATTGTATTACATATAAAATTTCACAATTTCCATACCCTAAGGCAAGTCACAGATCCTGGCCACATTCAATAGAAAATTATATAATTTGAGAACACCAAATTGCTTCTCGACCTTTTGGCTAAGATCAAGTGTGAGAACAACAAGAGATAGAAATCATTTGGGCCAACCTCAAGTGTCCACCCCAATTATATTGAGGGTCTTCCTTTATTAGTTTCTAAATTTTTATCATGAGTGAAGGTTAAGTTTTATCAAATGTTTATTTTGCATGTCTTTAGATTAGACTTAAGTTTAGAGTAGGGTGCCTTAGAATTATGTGGTTTGATCATCTTTATGCAGTTTTAAATACTTTTGTTACCTGACCCTCCCTTAAAGGTGGGTAGAATCCCAGGGCCTCAGGCTTGAAGCCTCTGAGGCTCTGACCACCTCACCTTTGCCCGCAGCAGGTTGAGAAAAAAAAGTCAGCTCCTTATGCGTTCTCAAAGATCAATGAATTAAAACTCATCCAGACTTCTAGACTTCCTAGGGTTTGAGCTGAAGTGTGTGTATGCATGGTACAGAAGGAAACTCATGAAAATATCCTGTCTGAAATTAGTAAGACCTTAAGGGGACATCAATCAACTTCCTGTTTTAATCTCTTCACCTCTAGCTTCTACGTTCTTTTTTAAAAGATTTGTTTATTTATTTTGAATGTCAGAGTTAGAGAGGAGAGACAAAGAAAGAGAGAAAGGGAGAGAGAAAGAGAGAATCTTCCATCTGCTAGTTCACTCCTCCAGATGGCTGTAACAGCCAGCATTGGGCAGGCTGATGCCAGGAGCCAGATGCTTCATCCAGGTCTCACCTGTGGGTGAGAGGAGCCTAAGCACTTGATTCATCTTCTGCTGCTTTTCCCATGACATTAGCAGGGAGCTGTGTCAGAAATGGAACAGCCCAGACATGAATTGGCACCGATATATGATGTGGACATTGCAAGAGGCAGCTTTATCCATTACACCACAATGCCAACCCCAGGCTCTGAGTTCTTAGCCCTTCAAATTATGATCTGAATGATGGTTACCCCACAGAAGTGAGGAGGATCCAGAAAGGTAGATCTGGCAGAGATGACAACACAACACTCAATCTGTTACAGCATGTGAGGACAGACATGAGACCCACTGACAACCACTGGGAATAGCTTATAATCTCTTTATTTATTTTTTTTATTTTTGACAGGCAGAGTGGACAGTGAGAGAGAGAGAGTCAGAGAGAAAGGTCTTCCTTTACCGTTGGTTCACCCTCCAATGGCTGCTGTGGTTGACACGCTGCAGCCGGCGCACCTCGCTGATCCAAAGCCAGGAGCCAGGTGCTTCTCCTGGTCTCCCATGCAGGTGTAGGGTCCAAGCACTTGGGCCATCCTCCACTGCACTCCCAGGCCACAGCAGAGAGCTGGCCTGGAAGAGGGGCAACCGGAACAAAATCCAGCATCCCGACCGGGACTAGAACCTGGTGTGCTGGCACCGCAAGGTGGAGGATTAGCCTATTGAGCCACAGCGCCGGCCTATAATTACTTTAAATGTGGCCCCTGTTCCTCGGTCACCTCCTGCTTTCATCTTCTGGGCTTTGCTTAGGGATTGGCAATTCCCCAACCTAGTTCACATAGAACTGGGAAGGCCCACCTGCAGCTGCCCAGCTGTTCTATAAACAACTGACTGTGCATTTTAAAGCCAGGTAGACATTCCAAAATTAGTCATTTATATAAAAGATTCTTCTTGGAGTCTTTTGGATTCTCTATATATGGAATCGTGTCATCAATAAGTAGGGATAGTTTGATTTCCTCCTTCCCAATTTGAATCCTTTTGATTTCTTGTTCTTGCCTAAGTGCTCCGGCTAAAAATTCCACAAGACTATACTGAATATCAATGATGAGAGTGGGCATTTTTGGTTCCGGATCTCAGTGGGAATGCTTCCAACTTTTCTATACCCAGTTTGCTGGATTTTCTATCTGTGGAAACCCACCTTTCTCTCCTTACAAGGAGTAGGTTCCTACTTATCAGAACTTACTTAGGAGAAAGGAAACAGATTCTGAGGTGATAACCTCTGACTGGCCATCTGATTATTTGTATAAGTTAACATGACACAAAATGTAGGTAATATTTATATAGATATATTATTAATACGACAATTCAAAAGATTATAAAAGCTTATATCTGATCCTTTTGTTATCAGCCATGGTGGTTATCTTGGTTAAAAAAAAAAAAAAGAACCTAGATACCTTTCAATAACTTTTGAGATAGTCCTTCCCAGCACGGGCCTAGAGGCCAAAAAGGGACAGTTTTATAAACTCTTCAGATGTTTTTTAAAAATTGCATCTGCAGTACTGGATCTTCTCTAAAATCCTAACCACTAATTTTAAATACTATGTTTCTGATCTCTTTAAGATCAGTGGACTAGGTAAGACTGTCTAAAACTTGGGGGGAGGGAATCCTGGAAAATCTACAAAATGCCTAATGAAAAGCAGGAAAAAAATTAGTTACATGAAATTAAATGAGTTGATGAAATCTGAGGTCTTTCACTTAAAGAATTGTTGGTTCTGGATTTAAATGCTTCATTTTTTTAGTTTCAGGAAAACTTTTTCTTGTGATTTCTGTCATTTACAATGACTTGCTACAGTCTTATAACCAGAGAAGGAAGTGTTCACCTTCCTGTCTGCATAGCTAATTCCCCTCATATTCCAAAACGTTTATAAGTATTTCTGTGTGTGGCAATGTGATTGCATGAATTCCACAAGAATCTGTTCTCATAGCAGGATATAGTTAGAAACATTGGCATATCTAAATATCAGATATAAAATGCTTAGCTTGTAGAATTTCCAAGCCTGCAGTAATTAAATGGGCTTTAGTAGACTCTAAAACTTCAGAAGATTAGACACTGTAGTTAAAAAAAATCTTAGATTAGCCTTTTTTAAGTTTGATAATTTTCCAAAGCAAATTTTGTTACTTAATACAATCAATAAACTATAATATATGTGCTTTTAGACTGTAACTCTCTTCTTATGTTTTAGACTTGCTAACATTAAGTTTTCAGGGCATGATATTACTGTCTGGTTAGTCAATCTTTCATGCTGTAATTATATGAACAGTCAATTATAATGTGCCTATCATATTGTTTTTAGGATATAAACTTGATTTATTACATTATTGGTGGTTTTGCTACATATTTTTCTAATTGAGTTTTATGCCTACTGCCTCTCAGAATTCTACAGAAGTATAATTCTCAGAAAGATAATGTTGGCCTTGCACTTTGAGGTGATGATTTGCACCTACAAACAGATAAAGCTAAGTTCTATATTGTGCTTCATGTAAAGTTACCCTAAGTACCGACCGGTGCTGTGGCTCACTAGGCTAATCCTCCACCTGCGGCGCCGGTACCCTGGGTTCTAGCCCTGGTTGGGGCGCCAGGTTCTGTCCCAGTTGCTCCTCTTCCAGTCCAGCTCTCTGCTGTGGCCCAGGAAGGCAGTGGAGGATGGCCCAGGTGCTTGGGCCCCTGCACCCGCATGGGAGACCAGGAGGAAGAACTTGGCGCCTGGCTTCAGATTGGCCCAGTGCGCTGGCCATAGCAGCCATTTGGGGGGTGAACCAACGGTAAAGGAAGACCTTTCTCTCTGTCTTTCTCTCTCACTAACTCTGCCTGTCCAAAAAAAAAAAAAAAAAGTTACCCTAAGTACCACTCTTAAAACCTCTTTGTTTCTCAAATTTTGTTGGAAGCACTTTTGAAACTGTCAAGTGGTCATCAGTTACTTCCCTCCCAGCATATGAGCAGATCAACAGTGAGGTCGAGTCCGACTGGGCAATGAGGGGCAAAAAAACCCTAGTTACAGGATGTTGATCAGCAATGTACACCAAAAATTATCTTGATCACAATTAAGAAATAAAGATGAAGACACTGGTAACAGTGCTAAACAAAATTGGATAAATCTAAGAGGTTCTAATGAGAGGGTTATCAATTTCAATACTAACTAAATATTATACTTGTTATTCTCATATATAGCACTAGAATCTATATATATCACCCATGAGATTCTGAGGAAACTCTTCAACCTCTTTGTACCTGAGAAGCAAGGATTAGGACTTGGGAGTATTCATCAAGGTGGCATGTACCAATGCCATCTCACTATTCCAAGTGATCAATTTCAGTTCACAATTGATCATAATGAAAGGACTAAGAGTCAAAGGGAGCACATAAACAAGTCTAGTACCTGCTAACACTAACCAATAGAATAAATAAAGGGGAGAGTGATCCAACATGGGAAGTGAGATACTCAGCAGACTCATAGAATGGCAGATGTCCTAAATAGCACTCTGGCCTCAGAATCAGCCCTAAAGCCATTCGGATCTGGCTGAAAAGCCCATGAGAGTATTTCAGGCATGGAAAGCCAAGACACTCTGGCAAAAAGATCTCTGTGAGTGAGATCCCAGTGGAAAGAACAGGTCTTCAAAGAAGGAGGTACCTTCCTCTGAAGGGAGGAGAGAACCTCCACTTTGACTATGACCTTGTCTAAACAAGATAAGAGTCGGAGAACTCAGAGGGCTTCCATAGCCTTGGAAACTCATGACTGGAGCATAGGGAGATTACTGATGCCATAGACAGGAGTGTCAATTGGTAAAGTCAACAACAGGAGTCACTGTGCACTTACTCCTCATGTAGGATCTCTGTCCTTAATGTGCTGTACATTGGGATTTAATGCTATAACGAGTACTCAAACAATATATTTCACCTTGTGTTTCTATGTGGGTGCAGACTGTTGAAATCTTTACTTAATGCATACTAAACTGATCTTCTGTAAAAAAAAATTATCAATTCCCAACTTGACTCTCACTGGGATTAAACATGACAATAGGTCTGATCTGATTTCATCATCATCTAAAAAAATCTTCTATTATTTTTCACTTTATGTTTCTGTGTGGGAGCAAACTGTTGAAATCCTTAATGTGTGCTAGGCTGATCTTCTGTATGTTAAGATAATTGAAAATGGATCTTGATGTGAATGGAAGGGGAGAGGGAGTGGGAGGGGGGAGGGTTGTGGGTGGGAGGGACGGTATGGGGGGGAAGCCATTGTAATCCATAAGTCGTACTTTGGAAATTCATATTCATTAAATAAAAGTTAAAAAAAAAGGACTTGGGAGTATTGAGTCAAAATTTGGGGAAAATAAAATGAATGATGGCTTGCAATTCAAAAATCTGGACATTTCCACTCAAAGGTTTCTGATGTGTCTAAGAATAATGTAATGTATTGTAGGAGACAGAGTAGTTCACTCTGGTCACCTCATAACAGTGCTTACAGTTTACTGTATGCTGCTACTTGTGGAACAAAGGGGAGGTTACTGGCTCATTTCAGGTCCTGTGGTAAATTACTAACCCATACTATTTGATTTCAAATGTTACTGGGAAACTACCATATTTTAACCCAGCCAACTTACTACCAGACCTCTCCATGGAATGTATATGTGACTGATTATAGGTCATTAAATAAGTGCATCCTAGCAGGCTGGACCTGACCAATATCCCTTTTCAGGTTTCAGATCTGGAAGAATTCATGTATGGAAAGAGCTTCACAAGCCAGAAAAATCAAATGTTGGATTTGCAGTTGTAACTCTCCTGGAAACTTCAGAAACAGTGGCATTGCCTCCAGATTTTTAGCCCAGAAGGCTGAGCTCAAAGCTCTCACCCATGCATTCTGCCTTAGAGCAGGTAAGACAGTAAATATCCACAGACTGTAAGTAAGGAAAAGGAACGTTGTTGCCTTCCCCTGGGATACAAAGGTTGAACTTTGGGACTTCTTTATATTCAAGAAAACTAGAAAATATATTCAGAAGCCTGCCAGTTTCCCAAATTTGCATCATAGATGAAGCAGATGTATCCTCCACTGGTATGATCTTATCTTTGTCCCACAAATGGACTGAAGAGTGCAATTTGGCACATTGAAACCCTGAACAATTATATCAACATGTTTCAGATGATTTATGGCTTAGTCAGTGGGTCTACTCTCAGTTTGGAACTGAAGGTTTCTGGTGGAAAAAGATTCATCTTTCTGGCTTTCATTATAGGTACAGAATGCTTTGTGTTATTGCTGTGGAATGATGATGCACCTGCAAGATAAAGCTGCACATAAAGTAACTGGGCCAAACTGTATCATGATTCTGAGTTCATCTTCACATAGTGGTCTGTCTATATTTTTTTCACCTATTCCTGACCACTTCTTCCATGTAGCCTGCTTTAAAACCCACAAGTATCCCTTATTCAGCAGGGTGGAAGTTCTTGGGACAGATGTGTGCTATGCCCTCATCTGTAAATAGATTAAAATTTTTATTCTACCCTCAAATTTTGTCCTTTTTTTTTAATTAGCACTGAAAACACAAACAGATCTCTCAGTAACAACCACTTGAGAGAGTAGAAGAGATCATTCCAATGTGTAATAAATAAATAAGATTCACAGTTGTCCATGATGGTGATTTTAAAAGTAGTAGATCTAACAGTGCTGAGCTTCTCTGTCTGCATCCAGATAAGATGGATACTATGCCTTCCTTGTCTTGGCTCTTTAAAAAACATAAAAAGGCATAGAGGTTCATGGAAAATAGAAAATCTCTGCAGGCTCTGGTGGGTGGAGAAAGCTTCCTCAAAAGGGGGAGAGGGAGCCAGAGCTTCCCTAGCCAGAGGAAGATATGGAGCAAGGCTGGGAAAGTTGTCCAGTGGAACTGTCCACCTGCAGCTGGGAAATAATCTTTCTGAGAGCCAGAAAGGGCTAGTTCAGAGATGGAGGTTAATGCCAGGTAGTGAAGGGCCTTGAGTGCCAGACAAAGGACTGAGATATTTTCCTCTCAGAAACAGTGAACCACTGGAGATTTGGAAACAGAGAGTGATCTGTACAAGTCACATTTGGAGTAAAGGATAGTCTTAAGGGAAGAGAGAGGCATCAGGGAGAGGAGCATGGGCAGGATATGTTGGAAAGAAACTGAAAGGGCCACAGTACAAGAAACTGAACAAAATGGCACAACTGATGTTGAGTATGAGATGGAGGTAGACATGGCTGGAATTTCAGCAAGTGAAAAAGAATAATGCTCAGGAGGAATATTAAATGAGACCCACATGGGCAGAGGTGAGAGTTGATGTGCTAGGGGATATGTGAAAGGTAGCATACAAATAGAAAACTTAAAGTTGGGTTTTAGGAGGGGGTGAATTATCAAAGAAAGAAAAATAATGTAAGAGATGGAGAGAGAAGCAAGACAGGGAAGTCAGCTCCTCACAGGAAACTTCTCAATTAGGCCCCTGGTTCTGTCCTAACACCAACTTCCTCTCCCACATCTAAGCTGGGTACATGCCCTAGTGTTAATTGGGTCCCATGGGATACCTACTATATAGAGGATACTGGGTCCCATGGGATACCTACTGTATACATATAATACTGCTGGACTTTTCCAGACCTTTGCCAATACAGAACAAAGCCATGAAAACCAGATAAAAAGTATCAGCAATAAGAAAGAGGACAAACAAAAAGCTTCATAACAACTATGAAGACACCAGAGAAGAATGGCTTGAGGGAGATGTTCTGATAAAGCTTCAGGACCAGGAGGAAGGAGGGTGTGAATGCCTGTAAATGGATATCTAGTGGACAGTCCATTCTTTCAAGAACTTTCACAGTAAAGGGAGGGAACATTTTTTGGGAAGGAATCATCAATGAGGAAGGAATAATGAAATAGTTCTTTCAGTTAGGGTTAGGGTTAGGCCTCAGAGAAAACCTACCCACTCCTTGATCTCAGACTTCCAGCTTCCCAAACTGTGAGAGAGTAAAATGTCTATTGTTGAAGTCACAAAGTCTGTGATATGTTTATGGTAGCTGTAGCTAACCAATACAGCAGGAAATCCAGTCTGAAGAACCAAGTTTCTTTTCCAAGACCATAAAGACAATGCTAGAGCCAACGTAGTCTGTGCGAATCCAAAAACACTAACAGAAGCCCCCTATTATAGTTGAAGGTCTAATCTCATCTTCACATCAGCTACACTGCTTCATTAAAATATGATTCATTTTAGAAAAGCCACTTATCTTTTAGGCAACAGTATTTCAAGCAAAGAAAATTTTATTTATTACCCTTGTGTTCCCTTTGTGAGTGACAATGTTTTCATCATGTTGAGTTTTAAGATATTTGATTTGATATCACACCATCAGGATGGTCTCTTATTAATCTGATACAAACAATGGTTGCATATTGATAAATGACTGAAAACAATCTGAGAAATGTAAATGATTTATTTTCTTAAATGGGGTGATGGGAAAGTGAGTTTTTAAGTGTTTATTTTCCACACTATATAAGAATGCCTGGAAAACAATCATTTAAATGGTGTTAACATTTTTGTCATTCATAATTTAGACTGTTTTCTCTAATTCTCCACTCAAAAATTAGCCTCCTCAAAACATTCCCTAATTAAATGCATACAGAATTTTTCATTTTATTTGAAAGACATAAAGAGAGTTCTTCCATCTACTGTTTCACTCCTCAAATGTCAAAACTCTGAGCCAGGAACTCAGTCTGGGTCTCCCTCACAGGTAGCAGTACTTGATCTATCATCTATTACCTCCCAGGATGCATGTTATTAAGTAACTGGAATCAGAGACAGAGGCAGAAAAGTATTCAATGGCAGCCAATATTTTTCTTCCTTTCCTCCTGCCTGCAACTGTCTGAAACACAAATTTGATGACTGGGTCGTGACTGACATTTTAGACCAAAAGCATGAACCTTTGTTAGGCCTATCCAGGAGCTGCCCTATAAGTCCTCGTCTGCCTCAGATTTGTTTTGTATGTCGCAAGTTGCACTGTGATTTCAGAAGTCTGTCATTTGTATAGAAATCTAGGCCTCTTTGATACTGGTAAAATTCATTCTCATCACAGGGTAGAGCATGGGACCTATATCCAGGCCACACAGCTGGTCACCTTCCATTATTTCAGAATTAGGCACTCACTACTCTGTTATCCATACAAAACAGCATACTTACAGCTGCTTTAGGACCACTATTCTGCTGGAAAAATCTTGGTTAATGAAAGAGTTCAAACTAAAAATCAGAAGTTCAAACTAAAATATATTTTTCTTCAATATAAAAGTCCATTTGATATTGAGACAAAGAAAAACAGGGAAGACTATATAAGGTTTTACAGGATGGCACTGAATAACCACAGGGTTATGCAATTAAAATAAACATTTGGAAACAATGCAACATGTTTTTCAGGTATCAAAAACATGTAATTAAGATGTGGTGTAGTAGGTTAAGACTCCACCTGTGGTGCTGGCATCCCATATGGGTGCCAGTTCCAGTCCTGGCTGCTCCACTTCTGATCTAGCTCCCTGCTGATGGCCTGGGAAAGCAGCAGAAGATGGAACAAGTGCTTCGGCCTCTGCATCAATGTGGGAGACCTGGAATAAGCCCTAGGCTCCTGGTTTCGGCCTGGCTCAGCTTCAACGATTGCAACTCTATCTCTGTCAATTCTCCTCTGTTTCTCATCCTTTCAAATAAATACATAAGTCTTTAAAACATATGGTCCGATGTGTGTTAAGCAATTTTAGAATATGTAGAATGCTGTGGCATCTGGCCCTTAATGGTATTAAGTGTTTTGTGGCAAAGCATTATCCATCCAGGCGATCTTCACAGTTTCCCTCCAATCAATCCTCTGGTTAGCCAGCTTGTGAGAAATATAATAAATAAGCTAAAACTTTTAATCTAAAGCTTTCCTGGCTAATAATACCAAAAAATATTGACTTCACTAAAGAAAACTTTCATGTCTTAATCATCAAAGAGGATTAAAATAAATTTATGGAGCACCTGAAATGTTATTTATAATTCATAGGCCTATTACTTAACAGTATTTACATATCTCAGTTATGATTAATGGTCCCAATTACATTCAACCAATATTGAATTATACATACTATTATTATGTAAAAAATACTATATGTGCTCTACATAGAGTACTAAATAAAAGAGAAATCTTCACTTCTGCAGAACTTGCATTTGAGTGATGATATTATACAAATGACCTAGCCAGGTTTTAGACCGGTTTAGGGAAATGGATTAGAGTAATGAAGAATGTAGAAAAATGCTTCTCAGATGAGAAGAAACCTGTTTTTCAGTTTCCATATTGACTAAAGCCTACTCAGGTAGTTTAGAAAATGACTGAGGGGTGGGTGTTATGGAATAGCCACCACCTGTGATGCTGGCACCTCTTATCAAAGTGCTGATTTAAATCCCACCTGCTCTGGTTCTGATTCAGCTTCCTACTATTGTGCATGAGGAAGCAGCAGGTGCTTGGGCCCCTGCCATCCATGTGGGAGACCCTGTTGCAGTCCCTGGCTCCTATTCATTTAAATTAACGCACATAATTTTAACATATGCACCAACAGGGATGGACATTAGGGGTAGTGGTTAAAACATATATGCAAATGGGAGTGCTCTTTCTTTAATTAATTAATTAATTAATACTTAAATATACACACTAATAAATATATTGTACAATTAGTTTCAAATCAAACTAATTGTACTTAGAAGCTTCACAGGAAGTGTTCTACAAATAAGTAAGTTGTGAAATAAAGCATATATATTTTTCTTCCTGACAGATTATCTTAAAACACAATAACAGGCCGGCGCCGTGGCTCAATAGGCTAATCCTCCACCTGCGGCGCCGGCACACCGGGTTCTAGTCCCAG